AAAATAGATGTTCTCACAGCAGATTATTTGACTACTGATTAGGAATTAATGCAGGTGTGGGCCTTTTTTTAAAATCAAGAACCCGACTATCAGTAAACTGCTTACACACAAAGTGTTACAGTATCTAGAACATTCAATTTGAATAAAACTAGAAAAAAAATCAGTTAAAGGCCATGTGTACATTTTAGGAATGCCCTGTGTTTAGAGAAATACTAATACAGTGTGATAGCAAAGCAGTAGAAATGTGGAAATGCTATACTGACAAAGCCATGCTTTGTACCCCTTAAAAAAAAATCACTTCCTATCATTTTGTACCATTAAAAGTGCAGTTTTGCTATATTGGTCATGGGCCACACCACTTCACATGCTGATGGATATGGTTATGAGAGCAGAAGTCCTTATTTATAAGTTTCAGAAGTATAACAACCACAGTTCTGGTAATACTCTTGGAGAATCCAGTGTACTTAAAGGCTTACCTCCCCCACTGCAGATTTCTCACAAAGTAATACCAAAACTCCACTTGTCTGTGGCCAAGCTTAATTGTTTGGGATTCTCAATACATTCAGGTGGAACCCATGGTATTCTTTCAAGAAGAACTGTGCAATTATGCAAGCAAAACATGTCAAGAACAATAATGAAAGCAGCAAATTCTGTAATGCATTTGATTTAGTAAAAAAGGTTGAATATTCACAGATATCTTATTTTGTAATGAAGTTGCAAATCCAGTTTTGTTCTTGTCTAGAAAATGCTACAGAACATCTACCAAAATAATTCATATTTCTCAATGAGAATAAAGGATCATTACTTTTATTGTTAGAGAATGACATTAAGAAGAAGATAGTGTTTTTACAACCCCAAAGCCTAATTTAGCATATTTCCACATCATGTTTTTGGTTTGACATTAATGTTTTCTCCAATGTTATCAAGATTTAGTAGCTACCAGAAAAGAAATAGATAGCAAAAAGTCAAAAGTACTTTGTTAGCAGTACACAAACTAGACAGAATATGCTGGCAAAGCAATGAAAAACAGTAATGACAAAGAATTTAACACTTTTTGAATCTTTTGATATTGATTGTGATTACAGGTTAAAAAAATGTCACATCTAGTCAGATTCAGTTTTTTTTTTTTTTTTTTAACCATGAGATACCTTGCCAATGATTTTGAAATGCCAGGCAGCATTTTCAAAAATGTGTTTACCTTAAGCTCTGAGAGCTTTTCCACATTACCACAGTGCAAAAACTTAAACACAGCCAGTAATAGGCTACCTAGTCCAACAGCTGGCAGCAGATATGACAGAAATAATCATTGTACATTATAGCATAGTCATAAACAAAATTTTTTCACTGATGGTGGTAAAACAAAAGCAGCAGGAAAAAATAAATCACAGAATGGAGAACTGTGGTTTTGTTTCCTGTAGCTATTTGCTGATAAAAGAGGGTACACTGGCAATTGCTGACCAGGATTTTAGAGACTATTTTAAAATGAAGGAAGTTATTACAATAAAAGTAGATCAGATGAAAACAGAATAACATATCTAATATTTTCAAAGTCATAAACATTAAACAAGAAAGTTGACATAAAGACTTACTATCTTTTGGCAAAACTGTAATACCGAGGCCAGGATCACTAAGTTTAATAAAAGGAAGGTTTCCAGACTTCCTGTCTTCCAGTCTGATAAGCAAGATATTTTTTGCACAGACGTTCCCATGAACAAGGTCTTTAGCCTCCTGATGAATACAAATATATCTTTTACATCTAGACAAAAAGATATCTAATAATTTAAGAGGCATATCAACATCAATACTTTACAGCATGAAGGAAACATTGACAAAGAAAATGATTATAAAAAGTTAAGTTGATCAAATCTTACAGAGATCAAACCTCACAGATATTCCAATAACACTTCTCTTGTTAGTTTCTACCACTGTTTGATTCATGTCAGTTATCTACCTGAGTTTTGAGCATGGAACTTTTTGCCATATGTTGTAAACTTAGATGAATATTGTTCCTTCAGTGTGATCCATGAGATGAACATGAGAACAGCCAAACTATATCAGAAGAAAGGTTCATTCAATCACATGTTCCATCTCCAATAATGGCTTTTATGTTAAATTAAATAGATGGCTTTGGGGTATTTGGGCCTAAAGTACAAAACAATGAAAACAATGTACTAGCAGTTTGAATAGTACAATGATCCCCCAGCCCCATGGTTAGCTACTAATGCTGTCAGAAAGTAGTTTATGATGTTCAGCATCAAGAGCTGAGGTGGAAATTATGGGAAGAGTCCCTTGGAAAAAAGTGGATTTTAGCTAGGAAAGAGATTTTATTTCACAATAAAATGTAATGCATTAGAAGAGAATGGGAAGCTCAAGTGTGCACTGTATAGTGTGCAAAGGTCTGTTCTTGGTTATCCACTAACTTTACTAAATATATGCCCATCCTGTTTTCAAAGTCCCCACACAACTTCAATAAGAATGCTAACGGATCAGCCACATATATATATATATACACACATACAAAGCCTCTTCCAGTTTTGAGAACTGGAAACAATCACATATTTTTCTATAAAATTTGCTTTGTGAGGTGCCTAAATATTGCAGAAATATTTTGTTACATACTCTCCATTCTCCAATATGTAGTCACACTTTTAGAGGTTATAAGTGGGAGGGTAGCAGCTTTTACTTAAAATAACCCAATTTCAAATTTGCACTTGCATCACTGCAGTTAAAGTGTATCTAAATAGGTATTTGCACAATTAGCTGACTGTGCAATTAGCACTCATTCAGCATCACATTTAGCATATGCAATGGGCTTTCGCCTAAGCAAACAGGGAAAGGAAAAATAAAAAGGAGAGGATGGTTGTGCCTGGTGCCCATCTGAAAAGTTGCTGCCAGAAATGGCCAGGTTTTAGCAAGGGTTAGCTGGATTTGTTTGGAATACTTCAGAGACTATAAACATACTACAAAAATCATGTTAATACAAGACCATCTGATTAGACAAACCTCTTGAATTGCTTAGGAATGCTTAATAAAAAACAAACCCTTGGTTCGTTTATTTTCCTTTTGGCATTTCTCTTGATGTTGTTGGTGGGGATGACAACCTCCTTTCTTGGAGAAAAGCTACCTTGTCCCATTCCTTAACCACAGAAGCGTCACAGACTGTTTTAGGAGAAGATAATATTTTTCTCATTCTCTCCCTCTGAGGGTGAAGGCAATTGCATCTGGTGTTGGCCAGCCTGTGTCTGTCCACCATCTGTATAAGTAATTCACAATCCTAGACAAAAGAAATTTGCAGTCGTCTTTCTGTCTATTCTCAAGATAGCCACAAAACACGAAAGAGAATGATCACTCACAGGCATTGTTGGATCCTTTGAACATTACTTATAGCCTGGACACTACTGTCACTAGACAGAGTTTGTTCTTAGGTGAATTTTCTGGAAGTACTTTATTCCCTGGCTGTATGGCAACAGGGGGGAACAGAAAAAAAGTAGCTTATTACATTCAGAAAAAAAATGTGCCCTATCTCTTTGTGGCCATCCTAACTAGTAGCACTTAGCAAAGTTGAAATAGCCTGATCTGTCTCCCAAATTTAATAAATGAGTTAAAAATTGAGATCTGTTACTGTCTTTCTTGAAACAACAAAGACTTGAAACAACAGCTCTAAGGACTAAGGAATGCAATTTTTCTCTGGGTTACTTTTTTTGTTTTAAACAAAAAGTAGTTCATAATAGATCTAATTATCTTTCTTTGTTTCTGATTTCTTAAAACTCAGTATTAATCATCAGTTATGATTTTTATGCAATAGACTAAAAATACAGTATGTCTCCAGAACTGTCAGAAAACCCGAGCCCTTGATTTACTTTGTGATTTCTTATATTCTTTCCATAGTGTGTACATATTAATCATAAGAAAATTCAAGCTTGAAGAGCAGTACAGTGACAGATGTATATATTTAGAAGAGTGTCTATGTACATCAAACAGAAATATAGCCCCATGAACACATCACCTTTGACAAGAGAGTTAAAAGTTTCCTATCCATTAACCCATTGGCAATGGGATTTTGAATTTCAGTGCATGGCTGCTTAACTTTGA